CTTTTCAGAGGACGTCTGCTTGATGTTACAACACCAGACGTTAAGACGTACACCGTTAAGACGGTGATCGAAACTGGATCACATGGAAATTGAAGCTGCCACCTGGCAATCAGATTAATGCAACAATAAAAGTTTTTACTTTACTTTTGTGTTGTGGCGCCAACTCGGGTGTTGGGTCGCCTTGTTTGCGTGAGAATTAATAATCCAGCCAAGCTCTATTTGATAGAATTTAAAAGCTTAAAATGTCCTCTACAGTTATCGACAAAAGTCTTGGCGGCTCCTGGGTGGCAACTTTCAAACGCAAATTTAGGAACCTTCCCGAGAGGCTATAAAAAAGTTTTCACAAGTATTTTTGCGTATTTTTACTCTACTTTTAGCTATGACCAAGCATTGAACTAGAAAGTTTATTTTAGACAACAAAAATAAGCGTAAACGACAAAAAGGTCACAATAACAATGGACAAAAGTCTTGGCGGCACATACATAGAGGCGAAAAATTCAATATTTTGTAGGTCCGCCTTTAGCTGCAATGACCGCTTGGAGCCTCTGGGCCAAACTGTGAACTAGGTCGCGTAAAATTTGTGGCGCAATTGTCACTCAAACTCACCGTACGAAGTACCAAAGATCCGCCTTAGAGCTAAACCGTCTTCCCTTGAGTTTCGTCTTGATAAACGCCCATAGGTGTTGAATAACATCCAAATCGGGCTGTATGGAGAAGCTGAAACGAGTTGAACACGATTCGCGCGGAACCATCCGGGTAGGCGAGTTCTTCCTCCACTTGCAAGTCGAACAGTGCGGCCCATAAGCAACTGACTCTTGTGGCAAGAAGCATTGTCCTGGTAGAGGAGCCATCCTTCTCCCATGTTGGCGGTCGCAAAAAGAAGAAATTTGTTCTCCAGGATCGTCTTGTAGCGTCTTGTAGCGCTGGGCATCAAGAGTCGAGTTGAGAAGGACCAATGGACCCGGTGAGCTTCTTGCCATAGCTCTTAAAAAACAAGAGTAATATATTAGGTTGTCCAATAAGTAATGCGTGTTTTGACACGATTTTCAAAATATCACAAAATTAACAAAAGAGACCTTTATTAATCGATATATTCTCCACAACAATCAACAATATTTCTCCATCTTCCGAGCAAAGAGTGAAGTCCGTCATAATAGAATGAAGCTGGTTTCGATGAGAAGAAATCGTCGAGCCATTTTTGCACCTCGTCAACACTTTTGAACTTGTGTTCTCCAAGAGCGTGCGCCATCGAACGGAACAAATGGAAATCGGATGGAGCCAGGTCTGGACTATACGGCGGATGTGCGACAGTCGACCATCCAAGCTTCTCAATCTTCTCCTGTGCGATTTTTGCAATATGCGGACGAGCATTGTCAAACTGCAGTTTAATCATCGAAGTGTCCTCTCCTTTACGACAAAGAGCTTGCTGCACTCTTTCCAATTGTTGAGAGTTCAAGTCAGCAGTGACCATTTGACCGGGGTTTAGAACTTCAAAATGTACGATTCCTTTAGAATTTCACCATACGCACAATAGGGCCTTCTTTCCATGCAATTCTGGCTTTGGCGTCGGTTTCGGATCTTCTCCCGGCGACAACCACTGGTGCTTCCTCGTTGCATTGTCAAAAGAAATCCACTTCTCGTCCGCAGTAACGATAGAATCAATAAAACCAGAGTTCTTTGTTTGGCCAATGAGAAACCCACAAATTGATACACGAGCAGCTTTATTCGCTTCACTCAATTTGTGGGGAAGCCACTTTCCGCATCGATTAAATTTTCCAATCTCATGGAGATGATTGTTGATTGTTGATTTAGAACAACCAAGTAATTCGGTCAACTCACGAGTAGTTTGAGTTGGATCAGACTCAATGGTGTTAAGCAAAGCTTCGTTATCAAAAACGACTGGCCTTCCAGCGCGTTCCTCGTCCTCTAACGACTCGTTTCATTCGGCAATTTGCCACATGGTGCTCTAGGTGCAATAAGTTTGAAAAACTGTGCTGAAACAGTGACAAAACTACAAAAACATGCAAAAGTAGCGCCGACTCAATTATTATGTGCTCAAATGACCTTTTTCTTCGTGTGCGCAAAAATACAGTCATGAACAAAAGTCTTGGCGGCACAGACATAGAGGCAAAAAATTCAAGATTTTGTAGGTCTGCCTTTAGCTGCAATGGCCGTTTGGAGCCTCCGGGGCATACTGCTAACTATATGGCGTAAAATTTGTGGCGTAATTGTACGAAGTACCAAAGGTCCGCCTTAGAGCTAAACCGTCTTCCCATGAGTTTCGTCTTGATAAACGCTCAATGACATTCAAATCGGGGCTGTATGGGGAAGCTGAAACGAGTTGAACACGGTTTGCAAGGAACCATCTGGGTAGGCGAGCTCTTCCTCCACTGGCAAGTCGAACAGTGCGGCCCATAAGCAACTGACTCTTGTGGCAAGGAGCATTGTCCTGGTAGAGGAGCCATCCTTGTTCCATGTTGGCGGTCGCAAAAGGAAGAAGATTGTTCTCCAGGATCGTCTTGTAGCGTCTTGTAGCGCTGGGCATCAAGAGTCGAGTTGAGAAGGACCAATGGACCCGGTGAGCTTCTTGCCATAGCTCCTAAAAAGCAAGATTAATATACATAACAAGAGAGAGTCTCTTACCCCCTACCAAGACCGCTTCACTACGAAATTTCACCGTCGGATGCAAGCATTTAGAGCTGAATCGTTGTCCCACAGGTCTCCGAACCAAATGGTTCCCATCCGGTTGAAAAAGATTGAATTTTGACTCATCAGTGAAAATAACATTTGCCCAATCGTTGGCGGTCCAACTTGCGTACTTTTTCGCAAGCTGCAACCTGAGTTTTCGGTGCCTGGCAACCATTGGGGTTTTTTGGCAGCTCTTCTAGTCACCAATCCAGCTCGAATCAAACAACGGCTAGCAGTTTTTCGTGAGATAACCTTATTTGAAAGATTCTTGATGAAAGTCACGCCGTCGGTTGCTGTCTTTTTCGGCTCTTCTCGATGATCCAAAACGAGTTTACGATCCTCACTTGGAGTTGTAACCGGTGGACGGTCTGTTTTGAGCTTTCGATGAAGGTTTCCAGTTGCATTTGCGTTGTGTGTGATGCGTTCAACTGTCCTCGTACCGCATTTGATTTTTTCCGCGATGTCTTTTTCTTTCTCTCCTCTATTTCTTGCTTCTACAATTGCTTTTTTGTCTGGTGTTGATAAATACGCTCCAGGCATCTGAAAAAAATTAAAACATTACAAAAATATAGGCAAGATACACAAAAAAATAGAAAAAAAACGAGTATTGTAGTAAGCCGCCAAGACTTTTGTCCATTGTTTTTGTGACCTTTTTGTCGTTTACGCTTATTTGTGTTGTTTAAAATAAACTTTCGAGTTCAATGATAACAACACATTAATCCAAAAGGTATTCACCATCTGCATCAATGACTTGCCGCCAACGTTCACGCAGAGAATGGATGCCCTTCTTGAAGAACTCGACCGGCTGCGACTCGAAGAAGTTGGACACCCAAATTTGGGTCTCGTCGCGGTTCTTCAACTTTTTCTCGGCCAAGGAGTGGTGCATTGAGCGGAACAGATGGTAATCGGAAGGCGCCAAGTCTGGGCTGTATGGCAGATGAGGCAGGACTTCCCAGCCCATTTCTTCAATTTTCTGCTGGGTGATTTTTGCGATATGCGGCCGAGCGTTGTCGTGGAGGAATTTTGTCGACGCCGTATCTACACCTTGACGTCGCAGCGCCTGGTCCACGCGGTCCAATTGGCCTTGGTAGAGGTTTGCCGTAACTGTTTGACTCGAATCCAGAACCTCAAAGTACACCAGGCCTTTACTGTTCCACCAAATACAAAGCATCACATTTGTCCCGTGTATGTCCGGTTTTGGAGTCGGTTTTGGAGCTTCACCGGGGTCCAACCACTGCCGCTTTCTTGCTTTGTTGTCGTATTGGATCCACTTCTCATCCGATGTAACAATTGAGTCGAAAAACCCACTGTTCTTGGCGCGGTGAGTGAGAATTCCGGCGATTGCGATGCGTGTCGCCTTGTTTGCGTCGGGTAGCTTATGCGGTACCCATTTTCCACATCTATTCGTCCTGCCCATGCCATGCAGATGGTTCTCAATGGTGACATGAGTGCAGCCGAACTGTTCTGCCAGGTCGCGAGTGGTTTGGCCTGGGTCCGACTCAATGGCTTCTTCAGTTTACCAAAGCAACAGATTTACCAAAACAGAAACTAAGCAGGAGAATTTCCCCTTTCCCTAACTTCAATCCTAGAATTGCGTGTTTTGCGATTGAATTCTCAAAAGGAAAATTTTGAAAGTCCACTCAAAATGAAATTTTTATCAGCACGTTTTTGTTAGGAAAACGAGAAAGCTAATAAAAACTGACTTTCCAGAAAAAGATCGTGGAAGTGAAAGGTAGCAAATTTCCAAAACAAAACATTATTATTACAATAGTTTTTGAAGAAATTACAGGTTCCGCTATAGATCAAGTATTTGAAAGCCAAAGATAACTTGATGGTTATTTATTTATTGGTATTTAGAAGCTTTTAAAACCACTTTTGATTGATATTTCCTAACTTGTTGAAAGATCTGTGTACATCACATAAAGCAAATTTTATTTCCTATTTCTTATTCATTTTATATATAATTTTTTCAAATTTGGTTACTGATGCATTTGAGCGATTAATTTCTGCGGAAAGAGAACTAACGTAATGACGGAGAAACCGATAGTGGCCACTCAAAAAAGAGTGATAAGAAGACGCGACTTGGCTCTAAAGTCTCCAATCGTTGTATTATTTTTGAGTACTTTTTTGGCACTTATTTGTTACTTCTTTATTTCTTAATGACTCAAAGGGCTAATGATTTTCTGAAAGAAATTGAAAATTTGCTGGAAGAATTAGAGGCTTCGGTGGGTAGATCTACCTGTTCTGTACTCATCCTTGCTTCAGCATGAAAACATCTACCAACACTCCATTTTGTCCAATTTGACATCGGAAGATGCCTCATTTCTTTCCGAAATGAATTCGTTAAGCAAATCGATGTTGCAGGGAATTTTGCATTTGGTGAATGATGAAAAAAGGTTATAATTGATTGCATTTACAGGGTTCACTCATAGATCTCGTTGATGAACAGTTGATCAGGCTCTTGTGCAAGGCATTTTATGGGTAATTTTCATTTTTGCACCATGAGGGGTTTTCTTTGTTTTAGGAAAATTTATCACTGTTCATTTTCTTTTAGAGAAACAACAGTTGAAGAATTAGAAGGAACAGTTAACTTGGACCCAAGTAATCCCAAATTTCTAAAGGGATGTGCGGAGGAGACTCGGATCTTTTCCGCTTTACTCATTGTTTATGTGTCTGACCAACTAATTAAACTCTTCAAAGAACGGTACGAATTGGATTGGGTGGAAATATTTGAAAATCAAAAAAAGTGAGTTTAAAAGAATTGAAGTGATCAACTCAAACTTTAGCCTATTTGATAAAAAGGCTGAAGAACTTCTGTCCAAATCACATAAAGGGGATCGAGGAAAAACAAAGACTTTGCTCACCGAAGGATACTATGCAAAAATAGCTAGTGAGTCTAAGATCATATAAACAGATAAGTCAGACATTTATCTAGAAGTTGTACTGACAATCTGTTTCTTTAGATAAGAACTCAAAAGCAACCACATTGTTGGAGATCGCTGATCGAGCGAATGCTCATGTGAGTCCCCGATTGAGCGACAATCTACTATATGCAGGGTGTCCCAAAAACTCTTATACACTTGAACTTTTATGAACGCATAGTTTGACTCGGAAAACACGCTATTCTTGGAAAACTAACGCCGGATTAGGAAAATTCAGATATTCGATATAACTCGATTTTTTTTAGTCTAAAACATACGAAAAACACCATTAAAACAAAAAGTTATGTGCATGGTGCTACCCCCGGATGTCCGATCCGAAAATCCCTGTGGTCCGCTCTTATGATTTTTTTCTCAAGAAACTTTTAATAAAAATTTTTTTCAGGATCGATTTGAATTTTACTGCCATCACTTTTCAATTATAATTAGAACCCATATGCATCATTTTAAGCACTTTCGGAGAAAATGTTTTTGGAAAAAGTTGGATCTGTGAGCTGTCAAAATGAGCATTACAAAGTGCCGTCCTATTAGAGGATTATGGGATGAGGTTTTAGGCCTAGATCTATCCATAGAACCCCGACAAGGGGGGGTTTAAAGTCAAGATTTCGAGGGGTCAAGGGGGTGTCATTCTAATACAGCATTTACGGTAGTTCAGAAATTTCTGGCTCTTCCGTGCGTTCAGCGTTTCATCGATCGCGTTTGGGTTAACGGAATGGATTCTGTGGTCGTAGTTGCACCGGCACCGATCCGCGATCAATCAGAAAATCAAGAAAACAAGGTCAGACCGTGTTCAACGTGTTTTCAATTCTACAAACGACCAAGGAATATCTTTGTGGTGCATACGGTAAACCTTTTAATTTAACCATAACCTCAAAATCGATCGCGTTTAGGTTAACAAAATGAATTCTGTGGGCGAAGTTGAGCCGGCACCGATCAGCGATGCTGCAGAGAATCAAGAAAGCGAGGTCAGATCGCGTTCAACGTGCTTTCAACGTTTCATCGATCGCGTTTGGGTTAACGGAATGAATTCTGTGGGCGAAGTTGAGCCGGTGCCGATCAGCGATGCAGCAGAGAATCAAGAAAGCAAGGTCAGACCGCGTTCAACGTGCTTTCAACGTTTCATCGATCGCGTTTAGGTTAACGAAATGAATTGTGTGATCGAAGTTGAGCCGGCACCGATCAGCGATGCAGCAGAGAGTCAAGAAAGCAAGGCCAAAACGCGTTCAACGTGCTTTCAATTCTACAAACGACCAAGAAATACCTCTATGGTGAAACGATAAACCTTTTAATTTAACCATAATCTCAAAATCGATCGCGTTTAGGTTAACAAAATGAATTCTGTGGGCGAAGTTGCGCCGGCACCGATCAGCGATGCAGCAGAGAGTCAAGAAAGCAAGGCCAAAACGCGTTCAACGTGCTTTCAATTCTACAAACGACCAAGAAATACCTCTATGGTGAAACGATAAACCTTTTAATTTAACCATAATCTCAAAATCGATCGCGTTTAGGTTAACGAAATGAATTGTGTGATCGAAGTTGAGCCGGCACCGATCAGCGATGCAGCAAAAATCAAGGAAAGGAAGGGCAGACAGCGTTCAACGTGTTTTCAATTCTACAAACGACCAAGAAATATCTTTGTGGTGCATACGGTAAACCTTTTAATTTAACCATAACCTCAAAATTTTCAGCTCTTTTACCTCCTTTACATGGTTCTTTATGGACTATTTCTGCAATACATGTATTCACTCGGAAGGAGCTTTGAAAACTCTGAGATTAACTGGAAACTGATTGGATGGGCTTTTGGATTGATTTTGTAAGAACCAAGATTTAATAGATTGTTTGGATTTAATATTCCAGCTGGCAACTTACTTTCATCTGGGAAACCTATGTTGTCGAAGTTCGAGGCAGTTCTCTATCCTATTCTTCCCTCTATTGGAACTATCACCGATACACACTTCTCCATTGGATCTTCCTCGTTATAAACACAATACCGTTAGCAATTCTCTTCATCTGTACTATGTTATATGAAAAACACCGAATTGAAATAACTCCAAAGAAGTAAGGCAAAGCTTTCGATTGTTTGTTCAAGCAAAGCTTTTTACAGAGAATGGTTGATTCTGTGGTACGAATTCTTCTTCTACCTCAATTTTATCTACACTTCTCTTCGATCTCTCCTCATTTTGACGATCGTCCCATTCTTTGGAACAATCATTTTCACAATTGAAAACATGGTTTTAATCTTAAGTTGTCATAACAAAAAGTTTCAGTTTAAAACGTTTTTCAAATTTGCGCCAGTGATCATCATGTTTTGGTTGGTTTACTCGACGGTTCAGGTGTTTAAATGAAAGATTTCAATATCAAAAACATCTTCAGTTATCCTTAACAGATGTCACATCTGATAAGAACTTTGTTTGGGCTATGTTTATGTAAGTTTTTAGTTTTTACCTAGATATTTGGTAAAATTTAAGTCATGGAGCTTTCGAGTTGGTGCAAGATACACAGGACGAGACAAAGAGTGGAAGTATTCAATCGGTGGGAAATGTGAAATGCCCAGATGAGACACAATCGGTGCTAGGAAAACAGGTTTGGTGAATTTGATATTATTACTTTAAATAATTGTCCTTTTTCAATTGTGTTTCATGCTCAACAAAGAAAACAAACCTTTTCTGATCGCATTAAAACTGCGTTCAGTAAACATGGGAGAATTCCAACCCGAACCTAATTCCACCCTTCTTGAGGGAATTAGGCTCGGCTTGCAATTTTCCCATGTCTAGTGTTTAGTGTTTTCTCCGTCGCGGAATGGCTCCAGTTGTTCTCTTCTTCTACATCATGGGAGCCAGTGTTCTTGTCATCAACATCCTAACTACGCTTATCAAGTTCATTTTTTACATTTGATATAAAAAGAAAAATCAAAACTTTAGCAAAAAATATGATGATGCAGAAGCTAGAGCAAGCCATCACTGGAATAGCCGAAAGTTGAGGAGAACGATGCTTTATCAGAGAAGTCATCTACCACCACCATTCAACATCTTCGTTGACTTTGGAGCTTTTCTGATAGGCCTTTGCGGGTAAGATGAAAATAGTGGAAAGTTTGAATAATCAACTCTTTTAGTGGAGAGGGGATTAACAAGCTTCGTGGACTCAAGGAGAAAAACAGCTATCGGCATTGTTATTTGTGAGTTTAAATAATTTTTGGCTTGACTAATCGAAAAAATCACCAGATAGTAACGTTTTCGGTAACGTTTTCTGGGTAAATTTTAAAGAAAGTGCTATTTATCTACGATAAATCCATTTAGACGAGCCAGGTTTCAAACCCTGCCTATGTTAGGAATAGCTTGTGTAGCGGGGATTCCTTGGGCGTCTACGAGCTCTTCAAACATTGAAAACGGCAATGGAAATCAAAATGACAATAAGTAATTAATTTGATTAAAAAAAAAACGAAAGTAATCACCAAAAACATTTGAAAACATTTGTTTACTTTTGAACTTTAGCTCATTTGTGGATGCTGAAGAGAATGTGCCCGGGAACAGTTCGACAGATAGGTTTGAAAGCTACTTTTCAGAAAATTTTTAGGATTCTCATATGTTAGAACTTAAGTCTTTAAAGCTTTTAATACTTAAATTCTATTTTAAAGCTTAAATTCCTAAGCTTAAATTCTAAGGCATGAGAATGACGCACCACATCGATTACACCC